AGGATAAAAAATTATATGTTCTTATAGTGCATGTCGAGAAGGAAGAGGAGGAAGAAATAGAGATAGTTGTGGAGGAACACTCACGTTTTCCCATCTTCAGGACAATGTGTTTTTTGGGGACAACAGTGCATAGCCTAAGGGCAATTCGGTTTTTTGAACAACTAAAGGCAATTTAGCATTCCATTAGTATTATTGTTGGTTATAAATAAGGTTATTATGTTTAGGGTTAGGTTTATGCATGAGATTGTTGTTATGAGTCTTATGATAAGATTTTGGGGGAGATTTCTTACCTCTTGAATTGTAGGAATTGGGTCTCTCAAATAGTAAGTGTTTATCATTATATTTGTATTGAGTTATTCGGATTTTTAAACGAAAATATTTGCTTTCATCTAATTTCTATGAAAATTCATGAAAATTTTTATACCATATCATATCAGATTCTTTCTTTTCAACTTTGATTAGGGATGACTTGAACAACATTGTACATGTTTAGATGCGTACTTTTGTAATATTTTTGTTCTATTAATGCAACTTCATACTTTCAAGGACCCAACAGGTGAGTCTCTCAAGACCTAGCAAGCAAGCCTATATTAAGCTCTGCATGCAAGTCCTCATTGGCCCAGTGGGCAAGTACTTTTTGAGCTCAGCTAGCAAGAAAATATCCTTGCCTTCACCTCTCTTAGGGCCCGTTTGGGGCAGCTTATTTGGTGTGGTGACGTTTTGAAAACGCATCTGGCCTGTTTGGGTAAACTGCGTTTTTGACAGCTTATGCGTTTTCAAAACGCTGAAAACTGCGTTTACACACTGCACTTACCTAGGTGTAGTTGCAACTTTCTAGCAGCAGTCTGGCTTTTCCAAAAAAAATAAAAATTTGAAGTAGCCACCGTACCTAGCTTATCAGCAGATTATTCAATAAGTTGCAGCTGCCCCAAACAGACCCTTAAAGTGTACAAAAAATTTGATTATTATATGCCAAGTCTTCCCTTATTTTTAATCACAAAATCCTTTCTTCAAAAAAATTTTGAATTTAAGACAGCTGACAGCTGAAATCTCACTATTTTAATGATACACAATCCAACCAAATATCCAAAAATCAAGAATTCACAAAGTTATATATATTCTCATCCCATAATCCAAATAATAATAATGATGATAAATACTCAAACAAATCGAGAAAAAAAAAATAAAGCAATAGCCACATATTTTGTTTATGCTAACATTCCAATGAGACAGCCTACCCCATATATATATATATATATATATATATATATATATAAAAAGATTTATAACTCAACGAACAACAGAAAGCTAATTGAACCAGAGCCAAAAAAAATAATATCATCATATAATAAAAAAAAATTAAAAGCCAAAATCAATGTGACATAAAAATTGAACCAATTATATAAGTTATATTAGAATGAGGCTATAAACAATAACATGACACAATCAACAAGAAAACATCAAAACAACTACTCAATGCCCTGCTAAAAAATCAAACTATTTAATAAAGAACCAATAATTGAAAAAAGATGCAAACTGAACCGATGCTAAAGAAAACAAGGAATCAAAGCAAACCAACACAAACATTAGGGAACGGTTCATTCTCTATAGGGATAATTATAATTGAGATGCTTACATTAAAATAAACTGATAAAATAAAAAAATAAAAAAACTAAAGTGAAATCATTTAACAAAAAAAAAAAGCTAATTATAGACTCGTTGCCTAGCCTCTCTTTACAATTTATCATCCCTTCCTTTACATAAAATACTGTCGATTGTAGACTGCTAGCAAGTGCAATTGCCTTCTTTCTTGTAACTATTCCTACCCTTCAACTAGCAATAGGGTTGGAAGCCAAAGTTACTTATAAAGACAAAGTTAATTATAAAGACATGATATTGGTTTAATTTATAAAAGGGAATTGAAAAAGGATTTCATTCATGTCTAATCGACAAAAGGTCAGGCAATTAACATAAATTTTAAGTAATCATGGAGAAGAGCAACCTTAAAACCAGTAATCAATAAAGCTAATACATTAACTATGGTTAAAATTTAGGAATATTTATGAACTTGGTAAAACATGTTTAGATTTTATTATATGCTTGAGTTAGAATGATGGTGACAGATTAGTTCTAAGTTTGGATGATGTTTTTTTAATTGATAGAATATTTAAAATTCAATCATTTTATATAAATAGGAGGCCTTTAGAATATAAAATTCGGAAATTCAACAAAAGAAATTGAATTACTTTCATCCTTAATTCTTCTCTTTTAGGTTTCAAACAAGGCTCCCACTTGGCACTCCCTCTTTCCTCTACACTATCATGACATCCAAGATTTGTTAAAGCATAGAGCACTTGCTTAAAGGCAACAGAAAACCAGTTTATCATCTCTCCTCTCATGCAGATAAGGAGATTAACCTAATTTCCTCGATTCTTCAATCGAATATCCTTATTTCCTTTGCTTAAATATTTTCAACCAATGCCATACTCATTCCACACAACCATCTGAGATAAAAATGGGAGCTATGAAAGAAATAAATGGTGATTGGTTCTTTTGGTCCCTGTTGATTTATTTTGGAGATGGACGAAAGATCTGGTGCCTTAAATGCTCTTTCAGAGGATATATATGATAAGCACATTTGGTGGTAGGTGATGGTATCCATTTGTGGGCTCACAACACGTTATCTCCTTTAGGTGGTGACATTTCATTTCATCCAGGCTATAACAGATAGTGGGAAGGGTGTCCTTGCAGTTTAGTGGATGGCCTAATTGCTCTTTAACATCCGGTGCATCAGAAAAGACCTCATCATGTTGGCATATTGTTTCAGCTTGGGGACTGTGCTTGGTTATATAGTTGATGCCTCAGTTATTCCTATCTGGAAGAGTTATGAGAGGTGAAAAGCTCAGAATAGTAGCATTTGCTTCTTTTCCTGGTGCAAAAACAAATGTATTGTTGTAGTTCTTTCACTTGGGAACAGGTGCTGGCAGTGTGAATGGGATGGATGTAATTACTCCAGACGCATTTTAAGAACCCATAGGTGGTGGCGAACTACTTCAGAAGGAATATTGATGGTTTTTTTCAAAGGGCTTGGTGATTGCTCGATACTTAGTATTGGCTAATGCATGAAGGCTTGGTGAAATGAGGCTTGGTTCTATAGGCCCCCTTTATCTAATTGATTGATTGCAAGAGATGAATACCATTACATTAGATGCATGTGAAGAGACCCCTTTGGCAATGGTGGGGAACTTCAATTTGGGTAATTGTGTTATGTGAAACTTTTTTCTTATTTTTCTCTTTAGCTAACACTAAGCCTAGCACTGCCAGTATCTTCAGAGCCTAGCTGCCTAGTGCTACTATTGCACTTCATGTTTGCATCAATTTGTTAGTTGGAATCTACCTAGCCATGGTCTTACTAACAGATTTGATCAAACAAGCTTAGAAAAAAATGGTCCAATTGATTTGTTGAACTCTCGAATGCAGACTGGTAGCAAGTTTAGATTCCCAAATGAAATAATTTGAAAACTTAAACCCTTAAATAGGATAAAATTAAGTCTTATGAACCAAAACCCATCGACATGGCCCAAATTTATCATTTTTCATGCCTCGCATTTGGTTATCATTTTTTAGTAAGGTAACATTAATAAATGATGAGAAATTTGTCCAACTATTTAATGATAGAAGAAATTACTTTGAACTTCGCATGGATAATTAGTAGATGAAAGAAATTATAAAGCAAATATTTAGATACTGAAATGTACGCATAAACAAGGATAAGTAAATATAAATTGTACTTCTCACCAACAAAACATCTCCATAGCCCTGCCATTAGCAAACGTAAGAAAAAAATTTGCTTGGTAAGTTTTGGATGGAAATGGTTCAAGTCGAATTCAAATTCCTATAGATTTAGTGCCATATTGAAACAAACTAAATACAGATCTATAACAGCAACAAGAGCCCAAAAATCAGTTAAAAATTGAAAAAAAAAAGAAAAACTCGAGAGTTCAATCATAAATAAAATGCAAAGTTTTCAAAATAGCCCTTATAAGTTAAATTAAGTGATAATAAAATCACTTCTTACACTGATAGTAGCTGATGGTGTTTATACTTAGCTCAAAAAGTTATCTCACATCAATTAGTGAATAACTTCTCAACAAAAAAGCTTCAACAGAACTCAAAACAAAGGCCTTTTAGAAAAAAAAAGTATAAATAATATAGATAGCAGGAAAATAATTTATAATTATTGAAGAAAACCATATAAGAATGTTTTGGTGAGAGAGAGCGTCTTATTATGTAAAATTAGTCATTATGTAAGAGAATGAAGACATACCAAAAGTGCTAATTCTAAAGACTTCCCACTGTTCCACCTGAAATTATTCATAACATAAAAATTGCTTTACATTACATCATTTAAATCATAAAAATATTGAATCAAACATCCGCATTTCAAAGAAGTTCCAGATCGAGCTAATCCTAAAAAATTTTTATGTTCATTGCCGCAAGAGAAATGCCCTTGGAAGTTTCAAGTTAAGTTTCAAGTATTTTAGTACAACATCTACAGAGAAAGAGCGTATAGCATCAAATGGATAAATTTAGCGTAAATTAAGCAACGAACAATACATTGCTTTCAAACTTTGGGGTGGCACGGAACAGAAGCCACAATCAAACTCTGGAAAATAAAGCTAAAAACCAAAAGATCAGGACATCATGATCTGAAAAACATACAGGGCGGCAATGGAATGCATTTATTGAAAATGCAAAAAAATAAAGTTTGAAAAATGACTTTTAAAAAGACTTCTTCTTTTCCAAATTGAAAAATCTTCAATCCAATGTCTTTCTTAACACCGCCTACGAAATCCACAATTGCTAAAATCAAAGGAGATTAATCCTTACGAAATCAAGGCTAAATCTCTTCGCATTGTTAAACCTAATCGATACACTTCGAGATCAAGTTACATCAAAGACAAGATAGTTCAAGAAAAAGGGATGCTTGTGAGTTCTACCTGCCCGAAGGGAAACGAGATTATCGGACTCCCCGAATGCCCGATGCACGGTCGTTTTCAACTCGATTTTAACTCTGCTACTTATTCACTCCAGATCAGGTAAGAATAAATAACGCGGACGATGATTAAGGGGTAAACTTGGATGCATGATACTTCTTCCATCATCGAAGAACTGCATCTAGCAGCCCTTAATGGTCGAGGGTTTCGAGCCAGAACGAGGGAGAAGCCGAGTATAGGCTTATGTTCGTCGAACCCTCCCCGGGGATTGGAATTGTTTCTAGGTTAACCAAACTCTCTCGCTTACAAAGAAAGACCGTGAAATGAAATAAAACATAAAATAAAATCTTTATTCTAGCATAACGTATGAATAACACATAATAACACGAGAATATTTTCTCGTATTGTCGGACAGATTTTTTTTTTTTCTATCGCATTCACGTGACGTGTTTTCATTTAACCCCACACTTATCTCTACTTGCAGAGTCCTGATGCAATATTTTTTCGTGAAAGAGATTCTTGTACCACCCCCAAACTTTACAAAACAATCATCTTTTCAATTTATTTTTCAAATTATCGCTCAATATTAAAATTCATTTAAGCTTCAAGTTATATTTTTCGTTTTATAAAAGTCCCAACGGTCACATTTAAATACATAAATTTAGAAGTTCAAAAAGATCACTCGCTGATTGGTTTATAAATATTAATGTTTTGGGCGGTTTTTATGTAGTTATTATATTTTAACTTAAGAATAATTTTAAATAATATTTATCATAATTTATAATATTAGTTTATAGAATAAATAATTTTCATGTTTATCTTTAAAGCATTTGTTTATTTATATTCTTTAATTATTTCATATAGAAAAATTAATCTAACTCTATTTTTTGCTTGATTGTACTTGAAAAAACAAAAGTAACTAATAAGCTTATGCTACATTAAACAAAAATTAAAATCAAAATGAGGGATTTAAATATACACAGTGGAATTCTTAGGCAAGTTCATGTAAAAAATTTAGAGTAGATATTTATTAAAATAACACTTTAGTGTTGCAATAACAACAAAACATACATAAAAAATTACGTTACACTTAAGAATATTTAATACTATTGTTTTTTTTATTTTAAAATTTAGTGTTGTGTAATTAAATATTATAATTTAAGTATTAGATGTGCAAAAACATATAAATTGTGTGTCAATATTTTAGTAAATGAAACAAATCAATTAAAAAATATTCATTTAACTCAATCTTTCAATTTTATCCAAACAAACAAAACATCTACATGAAAGCAATAGTTGTGAAGATTATTTTTTTCGCAAAATTTGAACTCATCATTTAAAAGAAAAACTAAAGAAATAAGGATATCTAGCTAATTTTTTTTTTATCAAAATGTAGCTCAAAGATGATGGATTAACTTTGATATCAATGCATTCCTTGCATGAGTTATGTTGTTGTTATCTCGAAGCAAATCTAATGAGGAAACTTCAACTTAACTAATTTTAAATAAGACATCCAAATCTAAGAATTTTTCAAGAAACATAAAAATAAAATAGCTCATAAAAAGGATCATTTTAATAGATGAACAACTTTATAGTTAGCCTCCTCGAATATATATCATCATCAATTTTGTCATTTTTTATCATCTCAATTTTTTATAGCTCAAACTTTAAAAAGGGAACTATTTTTAAAAAATAATTTTTTTATTAGTAAATCAAATAAGCTATTTCTAAATTTCTTAAAATAGAATTCCTCTTTGAAGTCAAGATAAGCTAGTTACTCAAAGTTACTCAGTTGTCATCTAGATCATTTTGTATGTGTTTATTATTTGAGACATTTATTAGTGTGGCATATAAATAAAAGTTATGTTCATAAAGTTTAATTCCAAAATGCAATTAATAAACAATGGCAAAAAAATATTAAATGCAGATATCACATTAACAAGTTCCTAGATAAGCCATAAATTTCAATGAGAAAAAAAATAATATAGTAACACCTTTTTATAAATTCTATGAGGACATTCTTGAAGTTCATACTAATCAATTTTCCATTGAGTCACATTTCACACTATGCAAAAAAAGACAATAAGTTAGAAATATCCAATCTTTATAGTCAGTTCAGTGACTTTTTCATTAAATTAAATAACAAAATACATGCAATCCAATTTCACTCAGTTTGTTACCAATCAAATCACCTTAAAACCTTTTTATGAAAGAAAATACTTACCATCATGATTATCATTTGGATTTAAAAAGATTCAACTGAACTTTATTATTTAAATATGAAAAGAAATATTACCAGCAATAACTTCAATTAAGGTGGAGTCAATGAAGAAAGATATTGATTATTGTGAAAATATTTATTTGAATATTTATTTAGATAGATTCTTTTTTCAAGGTGAGATGTTCAAAATTTGAAGCAAAGATATAATTACGAGGCTCCCATGCCTATCTCTCTGCTTTCTATTTATGCAAATAGAGAAGCATTTGATGTATTATAATCTAGAATATATCTTAAGTTATAAGATGAACATCAATTATGCAATGGAATTATGAAGTTCTAAGAAATGTTTTTTTTTTCCTTACAAAACTTATAGATGAATGTTTATTTTAATATTTATATGGACATAACAAGCTGTTTTAAAAAATTATATTAGATTGAATAACATAAGTTGTTACTTGTATGAAATGAAAGGTGAAGCTAGCTTGATTCCACTTATTAGAATTTTTAGTGAGTTCATTGGAAATGTTAATTCCCCTTATTAGATTTTCCTGTGATTTCATTAGAAATATTAATTATATTTTTTTATGTTAAAATTGTTGTTGAAATATAATATATCTTATATATCCATGTTATCTTTATATTCTCATGGATAGCTCATCTACGTACCATTATCACCAGGTCTTACTCAAAGTAGGCATTCCTCATCATTGGTACCTCTATTCTTAAATGGAAACAAATGAATTGATATGTTTCCATATAATATGAATACTAGAATGGCTCCTAATGGTTCATTTGTTAAACACATTCTACGCTCCCACTTAACCCTACAAGTTGTGATTTAAGTCTTATAATGGATCATAAAATTGATATTTTTTATTATTAGATTTTATAGTGATTTAATGCCTCAAATATGAAGCAATATAACTTATAACATCACTTTTATAATGTTTTGGGACATCATCTTCTTAATTGCCTAAAGTAAGGCGAACCTTAATGCAACCTACTTTCTTCAACATATTTGATTATTTTTATTCGTTTTACTTTAACACAACATTTTATTTATAGTAAGAAAATAAATCAAGTAATAATTGTACCTTTTTCATCAAGTGGAAATAAGCAACAACCTTGAACTTTATAAGAGAGCAAATAAAAAAAAATGATGATAAGAAGAGTCAGAAATGTAAACTACCAAAGAAGACTTCTCTTTTTCTACGTGTCTTATAAGAGCTTTCAATTACACTGCTAATATGGCTATCACATGCTATGATGCTTGGTGTCGTTAAGTAATTAAAATGCATGAAAGTCATATCTTTTTTAAAAAAATATAAGATTATTTTGTGCTTTCATGGTGTCTTTGTCCGGTGTTTGTGTATGAATTTAATAGAACAATAAATTTGAGATAAGACTGCAATAGTGCTTGCAGCATCGGTGTGTCATTGTGTTAAAAGCCTCAAATTTAAGATAGCGACCAAAAATCATAGAGTTGCAATGTCACTTTTTTAGCATCAATGTGATGTCTTTTAAGTGTCACAACACTACATCTACAACGTCTTATTGCTAGCACAAGGAAAAATTAGAGCTACAAAATATAGAGTGCAGGCTCTCGACATAAGGAGAACAAAAGGGCTTAATGTAAGCCAACCGTTAGTGAGTAGAGTGAGTGAGAGTGAGAAGAACACCATGTGCATGTGCAAGAGGAGAACATGAGATGAAAAATTTATCTTCAGAGCCTCATATGAGTATTATCTTCTAATTGAGTATATTTTCAAATTTTTGTAACTTATTTTCTTAACCTTGAATGTAATTTAAATTCATTTTAGATGAGTATAGTTTAAAAATAACAATGATATAGCAATTTTGATAAGAACTTAATGGAACATGGGGATAACACTCAATTCTTTTGAAAATAAAAGAATGTGGTGTTCGAAAAGCCATAATATAAAGAGAAAAATAGTTCTATGGAATCTTTTGCATGGTTTAGATTAACATTAATTTTAAAAGGAAAACTAGATGGTCCTTGAGTCTATGTGAAGATTTAGAAGAAGAGACATCCTCATTTGACAATAATCATTAAGCAAATCTAATGTAAGTTAAAAAAAATCTATATAATCTATAGATCAAATAAATTTTATCAATTATTGAAAACCCTATATTTTTCTTCCATTTTCTTAAAAATTTCCTAAAAAACTAATTGTTAACGGGAAAATTTTGTTTTAAGTGGAATTAGTAATTAACTTAATTTAAAATTTGATATTAATCATAGTTAGCATGATCTCTTTCAAATGTATTCACCATGCTTTCAAATTACAATTAGTAAAATTTTATCGTGAATTCGATGAAAAAAATCTGTTAAGGATGATCTGCTTGTGATCACTTTGTAATTTCTATTTGTTTTTATTTTCAGTCTATTTTATTATTATTTTTTTCATCTTTAAAAAATGTGTCTAGTAAAAAAAAATAATATATATAT